TTGTATTGTGTTAAATGTATTGCACTGATCTGCAGATGCAGACACAACTGGTGGTTTCATACTAGTATTCTGACACATAACTGGAAAAATGGCAGTGTTGGAAATTGTGTTCTTATCGCAATATTAGCATTTTTAAAATGTATTTTTTAAATACGTTTATATTTATTCTTTGTATGTCTAAAATAAAAATGCATAGAGGTACATTATTTGGAATTAACTCAGATAAATCCTGGTGTGGTAGTGTCAGAATGTGGCAGGGAAAATGGTTTGATAATTTGGGGAAAGGATTGATCTGAATGTTGTATGTACTCTGTGGAACAATTCAAAATACGCAGAACTATATAACCAGTTAGCCATAACATTATGGCCACCCACCTAATAGTTAGTAGGTCCTCTCTTGGCCTCAAAGCAGCTCTGACCCATCGACGCGTGGAGACTCCACTAGACAAAGAATCACACTGCCTCTCTCGGCTTGCCTTCTTCCCATAGTGCACCCTTGTGCCATCTCGTCCACATGATGTAAAAGAAAATGTGATTAATCAGACCAGGCCACCTTCTTCCATTGCTCCATGGTCCAGTTCTGATGCTCACATGCCCATTGTAGGTGCTTTTGGCTGTAGACATGGGTCAGCATGGGCACCCTGACCAGTCTGTGGCTACACAGCCCCATACACATGTGATGCACTGGATGTTCTGATACCTTCCTTTCAGAACTAGTACTTTTTCAGCAATTTGAGCTTTAGTAGCTCTTCTATTGGATCAGACTAGACTAGACGAGCCAGCCTTTGCTCCCCATGTACATCAGTGAGTCTTGGCCACCCGTGACCCTGTTGCCGGTTCTCCAGTTTTTCTCCCTTGAACCACTTTTGGTAGATCCTGACCACTGCAGACCCGGAAAGTTTTAGAGTTGCTGTGACCCAATCATTAAAACTTGGTCCTTGTCAAAGTCACACAAATCCTTCCACTTGCCCATTTTTTTTTTTGCTTTCAACACATCTTCAGGGACAACATGTTCCCTTGCTACTAATATATGCCACTCACTTTCAGGAGTCTTTGTCACAATCTGTGTTATTCACTTAACTGTCAGTGGTCAAAATGTTATGGCTTATTGGTGTATGTAAATAAATAATTAAAAAAAAAAAAAACTACTTAAAAAAACTTCACTGTTTTCTATATTCAAAGTGTGGCCTATATACCAGTTCCACAATGCTAATCATTTTCTGTTATAATCACAGTAGTAAATACTGGCAGGAACACAGAATTGTGCAGTCATCCTGTTATTAGGTTACTGCTCAGGCTCGTGCATTGAGAACAAATCCTATGGTAAGCTCACTAGAGTCTCAGGTTATCCAAATGTTTAACTTTCCTCTTGGGAAGTGTACATGACAACAGGTAAATACGGTCTAATCATTGCGGGATTAGTAAACCTTGCACACGGGGGATATAAACATCAACAAACAATATTAAATTCTGTTCTGCATGGACGCAAACTGTGTTAAACAAAATATTCTCTCTTCTGCTTTTAACATAACTTTAATCATCTAGATTAGTCAAGAACGGCAAAAAGGTTTTTCTTTGGCAGTGACACAGATGATGAAATTAATTAAAACTGTGGAAAACCGAATATGGGAGCTAAAAGCTATATCCAGTAGCTGACCATATTAGGGTTCATGTACACTGCAGCTGATAAACTCACGTTTAGGAGCTGTTCAGCGTTTTTTTTTCAGCAGCCCCTGAACTCACCCTAATCTTTTCCTATGTGTCCATGTACACATCTTGGTTTACCATCATTTACAGACATTTGCGTTTTACAGTCATTTTTGTGAACGCAGAAAACTTGCGTTCAGCAGTTGATTTTATTAGCGCTTCAAACGCAAAACGTTTTTAACTCTTCCAGTTCCCGATGCTGTCTAGAGCCTTTTTTCATCATGAAAATTGCATGCAAAGCGTTTTCAAGGTACTCAGATGAGCAAAACACTGAACAGAGGATGTTAATGGCCATTCACACCTCAAGTTCCTCATGAAGACCCCCTGCCAGGTGGCCTTAATGACTCACTCCACTAGACACCTTTCCCACCCTTGGAAACAAAAGAAATGTTAATGAGCAACTCACACCTAAGCTAATCTCAACACATATGCTGTCTCTGCTTCTACTTTCTGTCTGAAATCGTTAATAATGTACCACTTTTCAGTGCATTCTGGGCATTTGGGAGGTTCTCCTGTGCTTATCTTTAAAAAACGCTTCTAAACGCAAACGCACATATACGCTCATAAATGTGTTATGCAAACGCGGCTAAACAGATGTTTTTTAACCTACGTTTTCCAGCTGTCAGTTTCCATCGCTCAGAAGTGTCCCGTGTATATGGGGCTTAAGCCGTAAACCCATCTCTTTTGTACAGAGATTACTCCGTTCTGAAGTGCCTATGCAAGTATCAACTTTCTTAATCGTACATTACAGGATCAGTCATCTGATGCTGGGCTATTTGCTACTGCCTTGCGGTTATTGGACACTGGCAAGCAAATCTGTAAAATCTGTAATGTAACTCCCACCACCTACCAGCAAGCCTTGTTTTTTTTTTGTTTTGTTTTTTTGCTAGTCTCTAGGTGATAGATATCTTCCATCTTCTCTGAGAGAAGCAAACCACTATCATTTTTTTTGCACAATTTTCCCACTTTCCCAGAAGATGGCAGTAAGTCAGGGTTTCAACCCTTAAAGGGTAACTCCACTTTAGTGGGGGAAAAAAACCCTTTTTTTTTTAATCTGCAGCACTGTAATTTTCTGTAAACTGCAATGCAATACGGCAACCTGTAGGTGTTCTGTATACAGATGGTGTTCACCCTCCAGAAATATAAATTCCTGTTTGTGTGATTGGCTTACTGATTTTACCTGAAGTCTGCACCAAGATACAAGTCAGATTTTGGGCATCCCCTGCAACAAAAATGGCATTTTTGGTGGGAAACTCTGAAAGGGAAATCACATCTAAAGGGATGCAGACCCTGTCACTGTCCCCATTTGAATACTGCAGGTACAGACAAACATACAGCTGTTTCTTTAGAATAACAAAAGGTAGGAATCTGTAACCAAGTTTGTGTACATAGATCACTCAAAGGGGAATGTTCTTTTTTTTTTTTTTTTTTTTCAATAAAAATGGAGGTATTTTTCAGAACCAAGGTGCCTAGTGTGCTGAATGCTCCCATCTCTCTTGGATTTAATCCAGGGGCATCGGGTGCAGCTCTTTTTTGCAGCCAGGGCACTATTCTGTAGCCTGTGCCATGACAGAAATCTCTCTCTGCCTTCAGCAAGAAAATATTTTCATCCCTCCCAAACACTTTGCCCAACAATACCCTATTGAAGAGGAGTTCCTAAAGCAATGGGCATTCTCGTATGTAAACTCTGCCATTTCCTGCCTTAGCAAAAATCTTGGTGGTCCCTATTGAGGATGCCTTGTCTCCAAGGACCCTGTAGGCTAAAGGTTAAAAGACCTCCTTAAGGTCTTTTTCTCCCTGACAGGTCTGAATTTGCAACCTCTGTTGCTATCATGTTTGTTTGTCAGACCTTAGTAGTCTTGGGACAAGGGGCTTTGGGGGGGAGGGCAAGCCCCCCCACTGCCCCAAAGCACTCCTCCCATTTTGAGGGCATTTGGTGACATTTGGGGGAGGGGCTTGTTTGTCCCCCCTTTTCCTGGCCTGCCGGGCTGCATGCTCAGAGGGTCTTGTATGAATTTTGGGGGGCCTCGTGCGGTTTTTTTTTTTTTTACATTTTAGCTTGGGGCTCCCCTCAAAAATCCAGAACTAAGGGTCTGGTGCAAATTTATTTTTGGGGGGGCACACCGATTTTGGTTTTTTTTTGGCGTGGGGTTCCCCTTAAAATCTGTACCAGATCTGAAAGGCCTGGTAAGGATTGGGGGGAGCTCCACACATTTTTAAAAAAAAGAATTCATGGCATTATTTTGTCTACATTCGGCTGTCACGGTTAATCCCACCGACAGATGATGAGTTAAAACAAAGTTCCAGTGAAAAAAAAATAAAAGTCAGCAGCTACAAAAACAGCCACTCACCTGTCCCATGAAACCACGGCGTCCTCCCCGCAGCCCGTTTTTTCACCGGCCGTCCTGTGTTCCTGGCGCCGGCATCTTCAGTGTGCCCACTACACATGCTCAAGTGTCACTGCGCTTTCTGAATGGTTTTGTAGTCTTCTGGGTCATGTGTCCCAGAAGACTACAGGGAGGAAGGGGCGGAGGACAACTTCCAATCGCCTAGGCGATCGCAGCGGAAGTGGGAGCTGGTACCTGTCAATTTCAGGTGCCTGCTCCCCAAAGGTGCCAGTCCTTAATGGGGAGCAGGGGACCAATCTTTAAAGTGGAACTCCCCTTTTGTGTGGAGCTCCACTTTAAGGACACGGGCAGCCACCCACTCCTTAACAAACCACTGTTCGCTGCTAAACACTGGCAAAATGCTGTCACAAAAACGGAAAAAAAAAACGCAGTGAAAAACCATAAATATCAGCATTTTTTTATCCATCGTTTTTCCATTCTTATAGTGTGCATGGAACTTAACCTTAGGCCAGGTCACATTAACGGTAAAGTGGAGTACTCATTTTCCACCAAAATCTTATCATCCTCTATTCAATATGGACCTCTGAGTAAAAAAAAAATACTGGCTTAAACATAAATTCACCTGAGTGTTATTTTTTCTCTAATTTATCACATTCCATAACTCTATCATTAAAATACATAAAAATAATAAAACATTGTTTATGTTTTGATTTGTGTGCACCTTCTCCACATGGTTGGTCAAGTTTAAATCAAGAAAAAATAACCGTCAGGATGCTTCAGGAACTTCAGCAATTCAGTTCTTTTTTCACTATAGTGAAATGGAAGAGGTGGAGACAACAGTAGAATTTTCCAGGGTGAGAGTAACTAGACTGAATACAAGCTGAAAAGTGAATGAAAGTTCTGATTGGATACATTTCACAGACCATCTATTTTTTCACATTCTAGATGTTCCGTAAAGCACTTGTTAAGATGTTTGCTGAGAAAGGACTGGACTGTGTATTTTTGGAAACGAATATAAACATGAAGAGACGTTTCCACCTAGTATATGAATGCATCCCTCTTCCTAAGGAAACAGGAGACATGGCACCATTATATTTTAAGGTTGGTATAATCTTTTTGTAGATTGGTCGTGTACAGCTCAGTGTGACATATTGGTGAGTTTTGGGGCTTGCAGGTCTCGCCATAATGGAGAGTACTTCCAACTACTGGAACTGCTGATTCAGATTTTCTATCTTTCTTTTGAGAAATGTCTTATTGTCAATCTTGGTGACTGCCCATATGCGGTTTTCCTTTTGGTTCAGCTAATGTTTGAGGACTTTTTTCATTTGAATAAATCAGAGTTATGTGTAAACCTAAAATACAAGGTGTCATAAAAAATAAATGCCTTTTAATAACATAGCGGAATATATGTGTAAGATTCAGAGGGTAACTAAAGATCTTTGGTGAAAAGGAACAATCTTTTCCTACAAGCAGATGACTCTCTGTTCAGTGATACTGTAGAAGACTGCTGCCATTGGTAATTAGTCTAGTTCTAAAACTGGTGAAGGCTTTGTTCAAAAAGCTGTACTGAAAATTAAACCTAAATTAAACTTAAATTAGAACTGTAGGCAAAATGTTTTTTTTTAATTTTGTATAGATTAAGGGAGGGTTATAATATAATATTGTTATAACCCCTGTCCGCTTTTTTTTTTTTTAATTATTTTTTGCTCTCTGTATCCCATTGGGGAGATTCACCTCCTGTCCCATAGTCAAAACAGGAAGTGGGAGGACGTCCCTTCAAAGTGAGGGAATTCCAGGGTGTCTCCAGAACTAAGTATCCTTATTGCAAGATTTCCCCTCTCTTATGGTTCTGGTGTAAAATTTGGGATTATCTTTTACTTTCAGTACGATGACAACAGTAAACAGGACAAATAGAGAGGGAGAATCTCTCATGGGGGCACAGACAGCGATAAAAACTGACAGAACTCTACGCTATGCAAAAAAAAAAAAAGTTTGCCTTTATACTTACGTATGTAACCGCTTCAATACCGGACACTTTCACCCCCTTCCTACCCAGGCCAACACTGTACCCAAATTACATTTTTATAATTTTTTTCACACAAATAGAGCTTTCTTTTGGTGGTATTTAATCACTGCTGGGTTTTTTATTTTTTGCTAAATAAACAAAAAAAGGCTGAAAATTAAAAAAAACAAAAAACAAAACATTTTTTCTGCAATTCTGTTCTAAAAATGTTGCAAATAAATAATCTTTCTTCATAAATTTAGGACAAAATGTATTCGGCTACATTTCTTTGGTAAAAAAATAACCTAAATCAGTGTATATTATTTAGTCTGTTGGAAAGTTATAGATTCCACAAGATGTCCTGGCCTGAAAATGCCAGGACAGTGCAAATACCCCCAAATGACCCCTTTTTAGAAAGTAGATACCCCAAGGTATTTAGTAAGAGGCATGGCAAGTTTTTTGAAATTGTAATTTTTTTTGTTACAATTTTCTGGCAAATTAGGAATTTAAAAAAATAGGGTTTTTTTTTCCACAATTTTTTTTTTGCATACTGTCATAGTGCAGTACAGTGTCATATAAGTGGCTTGGTGGCGATCAGGGATACTATCTAGTGACAGTATGTTAAAAAAAAAAAAAACAACAACTTGTTTTTCCTTTTTTTTTATTACAATTTTTTAAAATATTTTTTTATTTGCATACTGTGACCAAAGCAACACAGAGTTACCATAGTGACACTGTACTACTCTGGGAAGGTGATCAGGATTTGGTTTTCACACTATGATTGTTTATAACAGTGGTAATCACTGTTATAAGAATCCATATCTTATGAATGATCTCCATTCATCCAGTGTGTACTATTGTGATTAGCCACAGCTATCAGATGATACAGATACACTGTGATTGGCCCTGTCTGTACCATGTGATCACTGCGACCAATCACTGAGATCAACACAATAGTACACAATGAATGGCATGGAAGCCATTCGCTGTGTACAATTGCCATGTGATCTTCTGTGATTGGTCAGATCGATCACATAATGCAGGCAGCGGCCAGGACATCTTATGACATGCACCCAGGATGGCAGCACTCCTGCATGGCCATCACATTATCATAGGCCTGCCGGAAGTGGTTAAACCCATAAACAAACATGTAATATATTGCAGGTTATTCGTCCTTAAATGTGGTGGCTGCATTAATTTTTTAAGTCTTTTTGTTTTTTTTTTTTTTACTTCATAATCCTTTTTTTTTTTTCACTTTGCCAATGCTCACTCATTGTACTGTACCTTTGTACTCATATTATTATAGGCCAGGCAGGACATGGTTGAACCCATAAACAAACATGTAATACACTGCTCAAAAAAATTAAAGGAACACTTTTTAATCAGAGTATAGTGTCAATTCATTTAAACTCCTGGGATATTGATCTGGTCACTTAAGTAGCAGAGGGGGTTGTTAAGTTTCAGTTGCTTTGGTGTTAATGAAATTAACAACAGGTGCACTAGATGGGCAACAATGAGACAATCCCCAAAACAGGAATGGTTTTTCAATATATTTTATTTAAATATATTCTTCAGATATTTTTTTAACATATAAAGTAATTTTACATATATTTTTACATATATTTGTAAATGCATTCCAAAAATGTAGATTTGTATTTTTAAAGACATACAGTATATTTGAAATGTAATTTTAAAAATATTTTTCATATATTTTGTAATAAAAACTCATTTCAACATGCAGTGTATTTATATTTATTTTTATATATATATATATATATATATATATATATATATATATATATATATATATATATATATATATATATATATATATATATATACAGTTGTGTTCAAAATAATAGCAGTCAGACATCACTACCTGATCAATCACTGTTTTTGGTAGAAATTATATTTCTACATGGCAAATAATTTACTAGCAGGTGTAGTAGAGTAATAGAAATCCAACAGACCCAACAGTCATGACATGCATGCTGCTGATTCTGTTTAATTGAATCACTAATTGAAAGGGGCATGTTCAAAATAATAGCAGTGGGGAGTTCTATTAGTGAGGTCATTCATTCTTTGAAAAACAGGTGGCAATTATTGCCCTTATTTAAGGAAGGAAGGCAGCAAATGTTGTACATGCTGGTTACAGTGCATTTCTCTCTGAAATTCTAAGGAAAATGGGTCGTTCCAGACATTTTTCAGAAGAACAGCGTACCTTGATTAAAAAGTTGATTGGAGAAGGGAAAACATATAAAGAAGTGCAGAAAATGATAGGCTGCTCAGCTAAAATGATCGCAAATGCTTTAAAATGGCAACCAAAACCTGAAAGACTTGGAAGAAAGCGAAAAACTACCATTCGAATGGATAGAAGAATAGCCAAAATGGCAAGGACTCGGCCAACAATCAGCTCCAGGAAGATCAAAGAAGGTCTAAAGTTACCTGTGAGTACTGTTACAATTAGAAGACGCCTATGTGAAGCCAAGCTATCTGCAAGAAGCCCCCGCAAAGTCCCACTGTTGAAAAGAAGACGTGCTGAAGAGGTTACAGTTTGCCAAAGAGCACATTGACTGGCCTAAAGAGAAATGGTGCAACATTTTGTTGACTGATGAAAGTAAGATTGTTCTTTTTGGGTCTAGTAGCCGGAGACAGTTTGTCAGACGACCCCCAAAACACTGAATTCAAGCCACAGTACACTGTGAAGACAGTAAAGTATGGTTGCGCAAGCATCATGGTATGGGGATGTTTCTCATACTACGGTGTTGGGCCTATTTATCGCATACCAGGGATCATGGATCAGTTTGAATACATCAGAATACTTGAAGAGGTCATGCTGCCTTCTGCTGAAGAGGAAATGCCCTTGAAATGAGTGTTTCAACAAGACAAGGACCCCAAATACACCAGTAAACGTGCAACATCTTGGTTCTAGACCAACAAGATTGACGTTATGGAGTGGCCAGCCCAATCCCCGGATCTTAATCCAATAGAAAACTTGTGGGGTGACATCAAAAATGCAGTTTCTGAGGCAAAACCAAGAAATAGAGAAGAACTGTGGAATGTAGTCCAATCATCCTGGGCTGGAATACCCGTTCACAGGTGCAAGAAGTTGGTTGACTCCATGCAACACAGATGTACAGCAGTTCTCAGAAACAGTGCTTATACAACTAAAATATTAAGTGATTCAAAGGAAAGCAAAATCATCAAACATTTTTCAGTTTATATAGTGAATGTTTGAGTTTGTAAAGAAGAATACAAACACTGTTATTTTTTTGAACAGTCTAATATTCACTTTTCTTCAATTTTTTTTAGAGGAACAACACAAATTTGATCTATTTTTCTTCATGTTTTGGTTTGGAATAGAATGTGTAGTGTTCCCAATGCATTTGTGTGTATGGAAATAAAAGCTATTAGAAGGATTTTGAGCTTTATTCACTTTTTTAAACACACTGCTATTATTTTGAACACAACTGTGTGTGTGTATATATATATATATATATATATTTTTTTTTTTAAATTGAAATATGGCCGAAATTGTAGCATTTCAAGTATATGGCAATATATTTGGGAAGAATATTTTTTAAAATATATTTCTATATCCCATATGGGAGAGCTTGCCAGAACTTGGGAATCAAGCCCTTGGCTGCACAAATTAGATGGTATAGTACTCTATTTTTATGCAGTTTCACTGAAGATTCAGGACTATACAATAAGCATGTCCACGGGTTCCTCTGTACAGTAATCCCACATATTTCCTGAATATATTGGGTAATTCCCTTCCATTAATCCTGTATTTTTGAGCAATCCCACCATATATTTGCCATTGTTCCCTTTTCCTCACAACCATTCCAACACAGCAGTGATACCTCAACTTGTTGTTTATGTGCCATACCCTGTGTAATATACCATCTCACCAAACATTTATAGTTAATTTCAACTGTGCTCATGTTTATCACCTTGTCTGTTAAAGTAAATATTTTATTCCTTTTTTTGCTCATTCAGTTCTGTTCCAAGTTCCTTTTCCCATTTTGCCCAGAACTGGGCTGGATCAACTCTTTCCATATCCATAAGGATCGTATAAATCCTAGAGGTGGATTGT